CTCCCTTTTTATTGGTTCATGCTAGATTAACAATTTTCTACTTAATAGCTTTTACCCCTGTCCCGAATTAAATTTGAAAGGGTTTTTTTTACCATTACTTTATAATGCTGCCTTAAGTATAATTGGTAGAATATCATTAGGCCAGGATATTTATCTTAAGTGCTTCTAGTATCTTAAACACCTCTGCCTGTTCTATATTAAACAATATTAACATTGAACTTTCTTTCCTCAGCATGAGGCATGTTGCCAAATTCTCCCTCGTTGAAAACCTGAGTGAGCTTCACTGAATATGTCAGCCGTTTCCCTTTCATTGTCTAAAGCTTTCCCATTATTAACTTTTAACACTTAGTCCCTTACTGTTCTTTTGTTGTTCTAAGATTATAAACACTTATTCAAGCCTCTATTGCAAATGATCTTTCCTCGTCTTTCTAATATTCCTTTTTAGTTGTGTTTGGTATGCTCTGAACTATTTTTTCACACTATTCCTTTCTTATCCTTTATAATGTGCTTGATCTGTGCATTTTTCTTGACTTATTAAACCACTTGGGCCACTTTGTTTCTAGTGTTTTCCTTCCCGTTGGAAATAATCTATTTCTAAGCATTTTATTTCATTCTCTATTGATTTAAAATCCTGTTTCTCTTAAGCTCTTTCAATCCCCCATAGTCAGCTTTTATAATAATGTAAATAATGTAAAATATACATCACATCATAATCCCCAAATGGCAAACTACAGTTCTCTAATGCTTCCTTAGGGCTCACCTCTACTTTAAATTCTTTGAAAAAACTTAATCAACACATTTATTCCTTCTAATATGTGTTCTAACATACAGTAGTAAGAACTAAGAACGTAGTAAGAATAAAACTTAGTGTGAGCCAGGACAACCACTTCAGTTTCAGATGGAGTTTTCCCTGATGATTTTTCCTGATGTGTGATTTTTTTTCCCCGATATGTGAGGAAAATTCAAATCTACCATGATCTCCACCTTTTCCTTCATATATATATGTGGTTGAATTTTTAATATAAGATAGCATTATAATTGATTTGGTCAATAGCACAAAAAAGGGTTAAAAGAGGGAGGGAAATGTGTGTGTGTGGGGGGGTCTGCAAACTAGAGTCAGCTGTTCATCTGGATTATTAGTATTTCATATGCAGTTCATTCATTAATATTGAATCTTCAGTGTAACATATGCAATATCCTAGAATGGGCTCAACCTAAGTTTAGCATCCTCAGACACCTCATATAAGACGCACTGTTTTTTTCACATTTAGGATTCTAAAATATATCCTGTCTTAGCTTAGATCTAGTTCCTCTCCTCTTGAACAAAAATGATCAATGTGTCTTCGATTACTTAACTATTTGCTGCATTTCAAATTACTGTTACACCAGTGCCTAAACATTCTAACCCTAGAAAAGGAAAACCCAAGTACTTATATGTTGTTCTACCTCAAACCTCAAATGTTCAAATGTTCTTAAACTAAGTCAAATCTTCACCAAAAGTTTAGGAAAACCTTCACAAAAACTTTGGGTCATTGTAATAATTAAACAATCATCCTACAATAAACTTTGTATGTTTTCAGTTTGAGTTTAGACTTCTAAATACTGTAGTACTGAAACAGCCCTTCTCAAAGTCAGTCATGGTACTTTTTAATTATTTATCCTGATAAATCATTTGAGAACATTCTCATTTACTATGATAACCAAATTATCAGACATTATGGAGTGAATAATATCCAGAACTGTTTATAATCTTAACCTGACATTGATGTACCTCCTCTCAATTCTAACTGTATATCTAATATTAAGCTTTGTTTAAAACCAAATATTTTGAAATTATGTTGACCAATGAAAGTTTCTTAGTAAATTCTCAGCATCTACTACAAATGTCTAATAGTTTGATCAAGGCTATTGATAGGCAGAGTTAAACAAATAAATGTTGATTTTAGTATCTTTTTTTGACTGAAAAAAAAGAAAGGTGTTATATAAAATTTTGGCTTTGCATAAAGCCAAAACATTTTGTTGTTTGTTTTTTAATATTGCACATTGTGTCCGTCAATACTAAGTATTACAGTGGCTGTGAGCTTAGGAAAGTATGTTTATTTCCAAATGTTATTCCACAAGATGAAGAAAATATAGGTTTCAGATTCTCACAAGTATCTTTTCATTGTTTTGCATATGGGTGTCATATATCAAACTGTAGAAATAATTTTTTATTAGTGACTCCTCTGTGAAAGATGAATATTACCCAACATTAAAAGAAGCATTTTTTTCAGTCCCTATGACCTGAGCCTTCTTTTGAAATGTATAGATCCCTGTCATTAGTCAGCGACAAAGTGATGTTATTAGCAAAGTTCCCTGCCTTCTGAAAACCTTGGGAGGAATATGGTATAAAGAACTGATAACAACCAGGCTAAAATGTCATGGTCATTTTCCTTGAATTAGTCTGCTGGGGAAAAGGAAATTTCATCTTCAGCACATGAAATGAAGAACACCTGATTTGAAGCCGTATGTCATTGCTGCTGAGTTTTCTTAAGTCAGCAAAAACTATATATAGCAGCAAATAGTGTGAGATATGGAGAAGCTTTTAGTGAGGACAGCAAGCTGTCAGTAGAAAGCTGAGTGGCTATTATGTTAACTGAATAGTCCGAACAATTATGCAAAAGCAGATGGACTGACCTCAGTGAGGTTTTGTTAGGTTAAAGGAAAAATAAAATGCACTCCCTGTAATCATTAATGAAATTTAATACATTTTTTTCATCTTTATTGCCGGTACTCATGGGCTTGATAAGTGACGAGTCGCGTAAAATTGTTCACATGACGATATTAATAATAGTAGTTTCAAACATTCCACACAAAGCAATGGGAAAGGAGGAACAAAGCAGGTCATTGGCAGGGCGATAATCTGGAAAATTACATTGCTCACCATTAAAATCAGTGTCAAGCTGTTCTTTTTCATTTTTTAGTTTTTTAAACATCTGGAGCAACTAATGTGTGCTTACAAATGACCATGAAACATTCGGCTGCAGACATGGTTTAAGAGTGGGTTCTTGTTTTACTTTTGTCATCTGGCGACTGCAGCCTGACCTGAAAGGAGTCCACCTGAGTCATATCTGCTGCTCTCTCCCTCCGCGTTCAGCTGTGGCACCTCATCTTCTGTTGCCACCACCTCTTCAGCTTCATAGCCCTCCTCGGCGTCTTCGCCCTGGGAGACTGCATCACCAAGAAAACTCTCAGATCTCAATCTTGTCCACTCTTCGAAAACTTTAGGCCCATTCTAAGAGGATTCTGTGTGCCCTACCCCTGACATCTTGGCTCTGCAATTGCACATACTGTAAATGGAGTTTCTGTGCTATTCCAGACTGAGCATCAAAAGAAAAGAATCCCTTTTAACTGGAACAGATTCAAAGTTATCCTGAGAAAAAAACATGTTTGTAGCAGGTGTGCTGACATTTGATGTAATGCTGTTGACATGGGTAAACCCAGGTACTATTTGCCAATAACTAGGGGTCTACTGTGAAAGCCATAGTCTAGGTGATTAGGTGAGCTAGCATTCTTCTGTGCTCTACTATTGTTAACTCCTGCCTGTAAAATACAAATAATAGGGCTTTTGTCTTTCCTATTCACATCTGTAATTGCTATTTTATCAGTTTAAAACTATACATAAACCTTAATAAACCGAGGTACTAATAAACCATAATAAACTGGGGTACTGTACTTCTGATTTCAAGAACGTAAAAAAAAGTTATTAGGTCAAAAGGCACAGCAAAGTTCCAGGGCAAGTTGAATTAAACAAGAGAGGAGGAGTCCGTGACTATAAGAGTGTGGGCTGAGCCACTCCAGAAAGAAATCAAGAGGGCAGAGATGAGCTAACACTTACACACAGTGCATTTGACAAAGAAACCTATGGTATCTGGCAGTGGAAGGTACCTGATTGGAAGTCTATTGTCCTCAGCATGTCAGCTATGTCGTCAGTGTTGATAATAAAGTGGTCCATGCTCTCGTACCCTGGGTCTGTTCGCTCTATGTTGGAGGCCTTGGAAGTGTCAATGATCCTGTAAAGGTCACAGTGCTGAGGTCAACTGATTAATGATGAAACATACAGGATCAAGATAGATGATTAGCACTCTTTCCCTGTGGTTTGCCATGTTGCAGATCAGGAAGGTATTCTATCAGATCTTTACGGTCATGCATTATCTGTCTCTACTGTTGAGCTACAGCAAAAACTAGGAAATGAAATAAACAGAAATTAGTTCAAACAAAGCAGTCAGCTACACATCTATTTTATTAACACAGACTTACTTTCTCTAAAAAAATGTTATTTCGGACAGTAACAATGAAAATCAACATTTTTAGCCCATCAAACTAGAGTGGCTTGCAGATTGTACATAGAGGTGTTCTTGGTCTTCTGAGTAGGCAAACTTAATTTGTAATTCCTTGCAGCTGTATAATGCCTTTCACCCCCAAGGTGTTTTTACACATGGGGGGAGACCTCATTTCATCCACCACTGAAGTGCAACACAAACCTGGGTGTTGTGGTAGTCTCACTACACAGCAGCTCTGACGGAGAAGTGGGAGATGTCCCTCAGTTAAATTATGGAGAAAAATAAGGTAGGATAGTTTGAACAAGCCCAAAATATAAATTAGCCTAGTTCACCTTACTTTATGAATAATGGAATTTGAAATGATCAAGTAGTTTGGTTCAATAACCGAGGGCAGCACAGTGAGCCTTCTCCCAGTACAAGAGTATTGGTTTGGAAATTTCTATCTAGAGGCAAGAGTGCCACCTACTGGCCCACCTACATCACTTACTGCAGCAAGACTTTTCTTTAGAAGCTTCCCATCTCAGTTCTGACCAGACCCAGCAAAACACCTATACAAACCCTTTACTAATCCTAGATCCTTTCCGTTGGTCTGAACAGTACACTTAATTTATTTTTCAAAATGTGCTAGTCAAAAACTTAGTCTTAAATTTAATGCAGAAACCAGATCATATTTACAGACAGATGGTTCCAGGTTAATATTATTTTAAAATCCAAATTCCATCAGTACATTCCAAAAACACAATAAAATGATAGTAACACACATAGAAAGGGAAATCAGAGGCAGTGATTAGTAGAGGAGATATGAAGAACTGAGCATAAGCTGTCACAATGAAATTTGGGTGTGAAGGAATTCAATGTAAATGACAACAGAGAATGCTAACCTGAGGTGATCTATGACTGTAGTAATATGGAAAAAGAAAACACCTATGAAATGTTTACTTACTTTTTAATCAACTCTTTAGCACTCTGTGGAAGAAAAACATACAAAAAACATTTACTTAATTTTATACTTAATGTTGAAGACACAATTTTACAGAATATATTTTTTTTTACAGATTTTCTATATTTCATTTGAACACATGTATAGCTGACTATAAATGTATGGGCTGTTTCATTGCACACCACCTAATGCAGTATCAGAATACTCCCTCATGTTACCAGCTCAGGAAGAAGGCAGAAATTAAGGTAGCTTTTTTTTAAAAAAAAGCTAGCAGTTATCCTGAGAAGCCCCAAGCCAATTAGTTTTATAGATCACCCTAAAACAATAGCTTATACCTGTAAGCTATAGATCAAGCATGTGGTCTTAAATGATCTATAAATTGCTAATTAGTTAAAATTATTTTTTTAACTAATCAAATCACCTTTTTAACTTATGACTGCCCACAAGACCTGCAGGATAGGGGCTCTCCTGGAGCAGAGTTGAGTGGAAACCCCTGTTTTAGATAATTTTTATCAACCACAGCCGATTTACCACAATATTACACATTTTGGAAGCCCAGCTACTACAAAACGAAACATAACCTGACTTACACAAACCACATAAACATGTACTTTATAAAGATGTGAACACTAAAACATAAAAAATATTTGTAAATATACAAATGTTTAAGTTTCCCAAGCACACAATTCTAAAAAGGTAAAACAATGGATATATGTGATCGTATTTGTATAAAATACATCCTATTGTGTCTCTTGAGGCAGCCAAAAAAATGTTCCAGCTGGCCAAACACCTACAAAACATCTACTAATGTTCAACAGTGACCAGACCACTGACAGAAAAAGAGGAAGAGGACAGAAAAGACACAGGACCAGAAGGGAGGGACAGGAAGCTGTGAGAAAGCACCTCCATCAACAGACCTTGATGTTAAATGTGTTCTAAAGATTTAACAACTGAGTGTGAGAAGGGAATGATTTCCATAAAGCTGGTAGAGATCCAGAAATACCAAGAGAGCTGTGGCTGGGTGAGCAAGTGAACACCAACTGTGTAACTTTCATAGTTCTCATTCCTTGGAGGGTGTTGAGTGTTGGAAGTAAATTTATAAATGGATTTTAACTGCAGCAGTAGAGAACAAAGAACACAGAATAGCTACAGTGTGCTGGCTGTCAGAATTATTTGTCAGCACTTGGGCTGTCTAAGAATGAACTTTCCAGAAAGCTGTTGCAAACAGTAGTACCAGGGAAGTGGCCCCAAAAAATCCTACTTAAACATGATAAGCAGAATAAAAAGCTGAATATCTGCATGGTAAAAAAAAAATCAAGGATGTTACTGATAAAGAAATGAAAACACTCAACTTCATAGTGGATGCGTTTGTCGTCATCAGTGGCAAGGAGATATCATTTAATTCTGTGTCAAACATTGTGCCAGGATTTCATCAATGGATTAAAGGAAGCAAAATTTCATCACAAAAA